GAATAGCGAAAGAGTATCGACAGCGAATCAGATTAATTGGTGACACTATAGGACCTCTGAAACTTCTCTGAGTGAAGTGTTGCCAGGCGCTTAGTACATGGTTTTGGGCCAAATTTAGCCAAAAATGAAAAGTAGAAAATTCACAATTTTTATAACATTTCCTGATACATATACATGTTCTTATGTTGTGTACAAAGTTTAAGCTAATTCCAATTAAAATTGGATTTTTTACGAATTTTTAAAGTTGCTCCAAAATTGGACCAAAGTCCCTGTACTATAGTACATGGTCTCGGGCCAAAATTTACCAAAAATGAAAAGGTGAGAATTCTTCAATTTTATTACATTTCCTGATGCATATACATGTACTTATGTTGTGTAAAAAATTTGAACTGATTCCAACCAAATTTGGATTTTTTACAAATTTTTAAAGTTGCTCCAAAATCGGGCCAAAGTCCCTGTACTATGGTACATGGTCTCAGGCCAAAATTTGCCAAAAATGAAAAGGTGAGAATTCTTCAATTTTATAACATTTCCTGATGCATATACATGTACTTATGTTATGTAGAAAGTTTTAACTGATTCTGACCAAATTTTGGATTAAAAAAAAATTTTTTTAAGTTGCTCCAAAATCAGGCAAAAGTCCCTGTACTATAGTACATGGTCTCGGGCCAAATTTTTGTCAAAAATGAAAAAGTGAGAATACGCCATTTTTAACCAAACTCTCCTATTATATATTTATTTATATAACTTAAAGCTCTCCTATTATTTATATTCATATTTTAATATATCTTTCTCTTACCATTCCCTCATGTGGTGACTGCAGTAATCACAAGGGTAATACTTGGAAAATGTCCTCATCATCATGGTCATCTCTTGTTGCTGACTGGTTGAAGGTGCCTCGGGATAATAGGCTGCCATTGTATGGAGAAAGGTCCAAGTAGCTCTACCCAACTGATCTTTATCCACGGGACAGTCGGCAGGAGGTTTGGGAGCCTCTTCTGTGACTTTGGGGCTGCTTGATTGTGAAGATTGGCCCTGGAAATAAATAAACAAATGTGTAAATGTAAACAAAACAACACTTTATTTGTTCAATCTCCTATCCTTACAGTATTATTTTGTTTCTGTTGTTTGCTCCATGTTTTAAAGTCCGTGCAGGCTCTACAAGGTTTCTTTCCCGAGCTCTTTGACTGCCAAGTATCATCCGCCATATTTCTTATTGCATTAATAAATCAATTAGCACCACTTCAAGTCATGAATAATTAATGATGTTGTTGTTATTCATCAGATTATTATTATAAGCACAGCATTTAGAGCACGAGTTCAAGCAGTGAATATAAGTACAGGAAAGGTTTAAAGCAGATCATATTTAACCTGCCTGCAATTTTTTTTTACTTCCTTTCTCAATCACTTTTGGATCAATACTGGCAGTGGATCTAGCTACCTGTCTTCTTTGCAGCAAGTAAGCTTAAGTGCCTATGCGTTTCTAGTTTGCATTGCTTTGTTGCAATCTCTTTAATGAGTGTACTTAATTGCATATATCGTTGTTATTATAACATCTTCCCTTGCAGGCTAATACTAAGTGACAATGTCTGATAGTCTCCTTTCATCTGATGCTCCTATCAATGTTGCTGCAGGAGACTATCAACACTGTCAGGTTGAGGTGACGCCCAGTGTATAGATAATAACTGTAAGGAGCAGGGATGTGGGACTCCATTATCTTCACTCCTCCTTACAGTTACTGTACACCTGATCAGTTACTGGAAGAGATAAGTGATAGTTGCAAGAGCATTTCCCTTTAAGTATTATGTATACTTTTGCCTTTATCAATCAATGGATATATACCAATAACAAGTTAATCAATCAACTCACTGTAAATGATATACTATTCATCATGTAAGAGAGAAGATTAAGTAAGTACATGAATATGTATTATTAATAATAATGAAAATGTACAATCAAGACTAACTAAATTGTATCAGTTTGTTAGTATAATATTACATACTTCATGTTGTAGCTCAAAAATAAAACTAGTTATTTTCTAAAACCTTCTTTGTAGCAAACCCAGCAATAGTACCAACAACTCCGCCAGTACCAGTTCCTATTATACCACCAACAAAAGGAACAGCTAGGCCACCAGTAACAACACCAGCCAAACCTCCTGTAGCAACAGCTAATATAAGGTGATGGTTCCTTGTATAAAATGATAACAAAGAATGCGATTCATCACTGCAACGATTAATACATGTAATCCACAGTGTTGTAACCCAGTCTTCTGTCGTAGGTAATTCTTTTTCATATTCTATCCCAGCTAGACAGAATGGTATCCTCTCCAATATTTCCTTGTTAATGTGACCAGAAAGAAAATCAACAACACACTCTTTATGGCCATCTTTTTGTCTTATTATTTCGCTTTTATCAACTACACTCTCGAGTGTACTGAACTGATTTGCAAATGTCAATACAACAACTGTCCTCTTCCACATTTCTTTATTCAAGACGGAGGCCAATTCTAAGAACATAGCACGATCAGCTCTACCTCCCAACTTTAAGCAAATGAGGATTAGATTGAACTGGATACGTTTATCAATATCCAACAGAGCATTGTAATCTCTCTTTCTTCCAGTATCTCTAAACCCAACTGTAACGCAAACTTTTATCCTAATCCCTTTGTACTCTCCTTCATATTCTTCTACTTCTGATATAACTGATCTTGCTCTATGTCCAACCTTTGCTACATTCTTCCCAAACATAGCATTGATGAGTGTTGATTTACCAGCACCAGCTGGACCAATCACTAATATATTGACTGGCTTTCCTCTTTGATTCAAGGCTCTTAAATTTCCTTCATATCTAGGCCCATTTCTTTCACATCGAGAAGCATCATCCAATGGAGTAGCCATATTATCAATAGCTTTGTGACCCTCACTCCAGTAGGCAGTAACTGGGCCTACAGAACTGAAATTTACTGGGCAGTAACTGCTTATTTAGGTGTACAGATAATAACTGTAAGGAGGAGTGGAGATGTGGGAGATAGATTAGTGATTGTTGCAACAACAATTAATTTTATTAACAATATCTTTTTAATAAGTAAAACTTGTTCCAACATACAAAAAATACTAAAATTACTTAAAGTTATTTAAATATACGTCCCAAACCAATTCCAACAAGGGAAATAGCTCCTCCCACTCCAGCTCCCACTGCAGCTCCTATGGCAGTACCAGGCCCAGGTACAAAAAAAGTACCAACTGCAGCTCCAATACCAGCACCAGCACCAAGAGAACCAAGAACAGATCCTGCTTCAATAAAACTCCTGTTCCTGGCATAAAACGTCAAGAAAGGACGTGCCTCATCACTGGAACGATCGATACTTGTGGCCCATAATAATTTCAACCAGTCGTTTACTATAGGTAACTTCTTTTCACCTTTTAACCCAGCTATACAGAATGGTATTTTCTCCAACACTTCTCTCTTAATACTTTTAGAAAGAAATTCAACAACACGAGCTTTGTGCTCATTTATTTGCATTTCCATTTGACTTTCCAAGTCATTAGACTGCTTTATGTTCTCCATTGTGCTGTATTGATTGGCAAATGTGAACACAACAACTGTCCTCTTCCACATATCTTCATGTAAGACGGAGGCCAATTCTGAGAGCATACGAACATTAACACTTTCTACTAACTTGTTACAAATGAGGATTAGATCAAACTGGCCATGTTTAGCAATTTCAAATAAAATATTGCGATCACTTTTGCCTTCAGTGTCTCCAAACCCAGGAGTATCATAAATTTTTATTGTAGCACCCTCACGGTCTAATACATAAGGGTGTATAACTGATGTAACAGCTCTTGCACTTACTGCAGCCTTTGCCACCTTCTTCCCAAACATAGCATTGATGAGTGTTGATTTACCAACACCAACTGGACCAATCACTAATATATTGACAGACCTTCCTTTAGGTAGCTCTTTTACCCTAGGATCATCAACATCACCGCCTTCAATAGGATCGTCAGGAATGTTCTCATTGCCTGGGACATTTATTATGCTGTTTTCACCTTCAGCCATAACTGCCTCTCTAAAACATGGGTGTCATCTGACTGAAACTGAGAAATGAACAGTATCTTAAAGAGGCTGACCTTATACAAAAACTGTTTGATCAAGTGTATAACAATATAATAACTGGAGGAGTGGACTGATGTGAATTGTATCTACCTGATAGCAAACTTGGCCCACCATAAAGTCAAGATAAGATCAATAAAAAGTCGATCAACATACCATAAATGATACACCATTCATAATAATAAATGAGAGAATATTAAATAAGTCTAATGTACATGTATTATACTATTAATAATGATTCCCCAGATGTGAGTTGTATGATATATATAAAGGTAGAGTTGCTGTAGAAGAGAAGTATCATCAGTATACTTGTTATAAGAAGTATGGAGGTGCTATTACTTATTATATTAATGATGCTATTTATGCCACTAGTGTTATTAATAGTGAGGGATCCATTAATAATTATATTATTTATTTTAATATTAATAATAATGGAAAGATACAGTCAGGACTAACTGAAACTATTTAATAATAACAATACTATTGTTAAAATTATCAATTACTATTAAAAATTATTAGTTTTGATTGTTTTTAGTTTTCTCAGAATAGAACGATCCTATACCAGCTCCAATACCAGCTCCTATTACAGTGCCTACACCAGGTAGTACTACAGACCCCAAAAATGCTCCAATACTAGCACCTATTACAGGGCTGGCTATATTGACAGCAACTTGGTATGCTTTATATAAAAAAGATAAAAAATGACGTGCCTCATCACTGGAACGATCAATACACGTCTCCCACAACTCCTTCAACCAGTCATCTGTTGTAGGTAACTCCCTCTCATCTTTCAATCCAGCTATACAGAATGGTATACCCTCCAGTACTTCCTTATTAATGCTTTTAGAAAGATAGTCAACAACACATGCTTTGTGCCCATTTATTTGCACTTTTATTTGACTTTCCAAGTCATTAGACTCCTTTACACTCTCGAGTGTCTTGAAATGATTTGCAAATGTTAATACGACAACTGTCCTCTTCCACATATCCTCGTGTAAAACGGAGGCCAGTTCTAAAAACATATCGCGATCAGCTCGTCCTATCAACTTTGAGCAAATGAGAATTAGATCAAACTGGCCACTCTTATCGATGGCTAGCAAGATATTTTTATAATTTTTTCCTCCAGTATCTCTACACCCTTTGGTATCATAAATTCTTATCTTGACACCTTTGTACTCTCCTTGATAAGTATGCACATTTGATGCAACAGATCTTGTTCCAAGTCCAACTTCAGCTACATCCTTCCCAAACATAGCATTGACCAGTGTTGATTTACCAGAGCCACCTGGACCAATCACTAATATATTGACAGGCCTTCCACTTTCACGCAATGCTTCAATCTTCTTTTCTATTTCCAGCGTGACATTTTCTTCTTCCTTTTCGATATACTGAAATCCATCCTCCTCAGACTGAACAGTTACATAGTCTGTAGCCATTATCACCAATAGCCTTGTGACCCCACTTCAGTAGGCAGTAATTGCTTACTCAAGTGTATAGATAATAACTGTAAGGAGGAGCAGGGATGTGGGACTCCATTATCTTCACTCCTCCTTACAGTTACTGTACACCTGATCAGTTACTGGAAGAGATAAGTGATAGTTGCAAGAGCATTTCCCTTTAAGTATTATGTATACTTTTGCCTTTATCAATCAATGGATATATACCAATAACAAGTTAATCAATCAACTCACAGTAAATGATATACTATTCATTATGTAAGAGAGAAGATTAAGTAAGTACATGAACTTGTATTATTAATAATAATAATGAAAATGTACAATCAAGACTAACTAAATTGTATCAGTTTGTTAGTATAATATTACATACTTCATGTTGTAGCTCAAAAATAAAACTAGTTATTTTCTAAAACCTTCTTTGTAGCAAACCCAGCAATAGTACCAACAACTCCACCAGCACCAGTTCCTATTATACCACCAACAAAAGGAACAGCTAGGCCACCAGTAACAACACCAGCCAAACCTCCTGTAGCAACAGCTAATATAAGGTGATAGTTCCTTGTATAAAATGATAATAAAGGATGCGATTCATCACTGCAACGATTAATACATGTAATCCACAGTGTTGTAACCCAGTCTTCTGTCGTAGGTAATTCTTTTTCATATTCTATCCCAGCTAGACAGAATGGTATCCTCTCCAATATTTCCTTGTTAATGCGACCAGAAAGAAAATCAACAACACACTCTTTATGGCCATCTTTTTGTCTTATTATTTCGCTTTTATCAACTACACTCTCGAGTGTACTGAACTGATTTGCAAATGTTAATACAACAACTGTCCTCTTCCACATTTCTTTATTCAAGACGGAGGCCAGTTGTAAGAACATAGCACGATCAGCTCTACCTCCCAACTTTAAGCAAATGAGGATTAGATTGAACTGGATACGCTTATCAATATCCAACAGAGCATTGTAATCTCTCTTTCTTCCAGTATCTCTAAACCCGACTGTAATGCAAACTTTTATCCTAATCCCTTTGTACTCTCCTTCATATTCTTCTACTTCTGATATAACTGATCTTGCTCTATGACCAACCTTTGCTACATTCTTCCCAAACATACCATTGATGAGTGTTGATTTACCAACTCTAGCTGGACCAATCACTAATATATTGATTGGCTCTCCTCTTTGATGCAAGGCTCTTAAATTTCCTTCATATCTAGGCCCATTTCTTTCACATCGAGAAGCATCATCCAATGGAGTAGCCATATTATCAGTAGCTTTGTGACCCCACTCCAGTAGGCAGTAACTGGGCCTACTGAACTGAAAGTTACTGGGCAGTAACTGCTTATTTAGGTGTACAGATAATAACTGTAAGGAGGAGTGGAGATGTGGGAGATAGATTAGTGATTGTTGCAACAACAATTAATTTTATTAATAAATCTTTTTAATAAGTAAAACTTGTTCCAACATACAAAAATACTAAAATTACTTAAAGTTATCTAAATATATGTCCCAAACCAACTCCAACAAGGGAAACAGCTCCTCCTACTCCAGCTCCCACTGCAGCTCCTATGGCAGTACCAGGCCCGGGTGCAAAAAAAGTACCAACTACAGCTCCAATACCAGCACCAGCACCAACAGCACCAACAACAGATCCTGCTTCAATAAAACCCCTGTTCCTGGCATAAAACGTCAAGAATGTACGTGCCTCATCACTGGAACGATCAATACACGTCTTCCACAATGTTTTCAACCAGTCGTTTGTCATAGGTAACTTCTTTTCATCTTTTAATCCAGCTAAACAGAACGGTATTCTCTCCAGTACTTTCTTATTAACACTTTTAGAACGAAGATACTCAATAACACGAGCTTTGCATGCAATTATTTGCACATTCATTTGATTTTCTGGGCTCTTCTTAGACTCTTTTACGCTCTCAAGTGTCTTGAACTGGTTTGCAAATGTCAATACAACAACTGTCCTCTTCCACATTTCTTCATTTAAGACAGAGGCCAGTTCTGAAAACATAGCGCAATCAATCCGTTCTACTAACTTGGTACAAATGAGGATTAGATCAAACTGGCCATGCTCATCAATTTCATATAAAATACTACGACCAGTTCTGCCTTCAGTATCACCAAAACCAACCGAATCATATATTTTTATCTCCACACCTTCGTACTTCCCTTTATAAGCTTCTACTCTTCTTGTGACAGATCTTGGACTAGCATAAACCAGTACTACATCCCTTCCAAACATAGCATTGATGAGTGTTGATTTACCAGAGAAAGTAGGACCAATCACTAATATATTGACTGGCTTTTTTTTATCACGTAGCTCCTCTACCTTAGGATCAATACTGTCTGGAGTAGGATCGCCTTTAGTGTTCCCATTCCCTACAATGTTTTCATTGTCTTGAATGTTCTCATTGCCTGGAACAATTGTTATGCTGTTTTCACCTTCAGATTCAGCCATAACTGCCTCTCTAAAACATGGGTTTTATCCTACGACTAACCTCACAGCAAAAACTATTTCATCAGGTGCACAAATTTTTTTAATAATATAATAACTGGAGGAGTGGACTGATGTGAACTGTTATCTGATAGCAAACTTGAGCTGAAATATCACACTATAAAGTCAAGATAAGATCAAGAGCAAGTTAATTCATTCCTTATTCACTGTAAAATGATATACTTTACTAGACTCGCCCCAATTAACAGACCTCTTGATAACAAGTGTGTTAATTGTAATATTAATAATCATTCCTAAGATGTGAGCTGTAAGATATATATAAAGATAATGTTACTGTAGAAGAGAAGTATCATTAATACACTTCTACACAACATAAAAACATGTATGTGTACCAGGAAAATTATACAAATGGAGTTTTCTCCTTTTCATTTTTGGCAAAATTTGGCCAGAGACCATGTACATAAACATAAAATGATATTGAAAAGTTGCTCCAAAATTGGGCCGAAGTCCCTGTACTTATTTTGGAGCAACTTTAAAAATACGTAAAAAAATCCAAATATGATTGGAATCAACTCAAACTTTCTACACATCCTGTCATCTTCAGTTACAGCCATAACTGCCTCTCTAAAACATGGGTCTCATCCTACCCGCACAGAGACTAACCTCACAGCAAAAATTATTTCATCAGGTGTACAAATTTTTGTAACAATATAATAACTGGAGGAGTGGACTGATGTGAGCTGTTATCTGATAACTTAAACCAAAACATCACACTATAAAGTCAAGATAAGACCAAGAACATTCCTTATCAATAAACACACCATAAAGGATACACCATTTATTAGAAAGATTAAATAAATGCAAGTACTTATTTATGTACATGTAATATAACTAATATTGTAGTTGTACTATTTGGTTTAATAATAGTTTCTATGTTTACTATAGCATGTCCTTATAATGTTATTATAACTTTTCATTTACAATAGATCACTTGTAACAGCATGGGACTAATCATTACACCCCCAGCCTAATCCAGCTCCTATACTAGTATACCTACAGCCTACACTAGATACATACCGGCTCTACTTACAATATATAGGTACTACAGATTCAATGACTCCTCCAATCTTTAATTAATATAATACAAAATAAAAGTAAAATAATGAAAAATTCCAAAATCTGATTAATTGTTTCTATAACCAGCCAACCTCAAAACAAAGGCTACTCCAGCTCCCACTGCAGCTCCTATTGCAGTACCACCACCAGGTACTATAGAACCAACTGCTAATCCAATTGAACCTGTACCACCACTTATAACTCCTGTACCAACACCAGCGCCCACAACCAATCCAGTGCCAAGAAGAACCCCAGTTTTAATATGACGTTGGTATTTTGCAAATACTGTTAAAAAAAGGACGTGCCTCATCACTGGACCGTTCAATACACAACTCCCACAATGTCTGTAACCAGTTGTTAGTAGTAGGTAACTTCTTTTCATCTTCTACTCCAGCAATACAGAATGGTATACCATCCAGTACATCCTTCTTAACATGATTCGAAAGATTTTTTATGAAGTACTTTTTGCATTCATCAATTTTCTCTTTTATTGCTTTTCCTGGGCCCATACGAACTACACTTCTAAGTGTAATGAAATGATTAGCAAATGTTAATACAACAACTGTCCTCTTCCACATATCTTGATGTAAGACGGAGGCCAATCCAACCAACATATCCCGATCAGCTCTATCTCCTAACTTAGTACATATGAGGATTAGGTCATACTGGCCATGTTTATCAATATTCAATAGAATACTGTAGTCACTTTTGCCTTTAGTATCTCTAAACCCAACTGTATCATAAACTCTTATCTTAACCCCTTTATACTCTCCTTCATAAGTAGCTACTTCAGATGTGACAGATTCTAATCCATGTCCAACTTCAGCTACATCTTTTCCAAATAAAGCATTGACTAGTTCCGATTTACCAACACCAGTAGGACCAATCACTAATATACTAACAGGTACATCTCTATCACGTAACTCTTCTAACTTGGCAACCATTTCAGGATCAATATTTTCATTCCCATGGACTGTTGTTATCTCACTGTCATCTTGTGGCTCTTGTTCTATAGAATTAGCTTCAGCCATAACAGAAAACAAGTGGATACTAAATTGAATGAATAAGAGGTTAAAATTAGGAGCCACACCCATTACCCTCCAAAACTTTAAAAATTCCTAAAAAATCCAGTTTTGATCGGAATCATCTCAAACTTTCTACACAACATAAAAAACATGTATTATGTATTGGGAAACATTATAAAAATTGGGAATTCTCTCATTTCCATTTTTGGCAAAATTTGGCCTGAGACCATGGGCTTTTGTCCAATTTTTGACAAACTTTAAAATTTTGTAAAAAATATCTAATTTTGGTTGGAACTAGCTTTGCATTGACATTAATCTTAAAGACCTTGCAAACTATTCCTTAACCTATTCCTAAACAAGTGTGAACACAAAATCTTGCTCAAGCACATTCTCAAAAATGACCACAAAAAGTGTTAAAGAATTATCATGTGCTGCTACCAATGAACGTGAATATTATTAATAATGTGACCTGACCAATTAGAAAAGAACTATTGAATCTCATTATAAAAAGATTGTAAAGAAAGAAGAATTAATAAAAATAGCCTAAAAATATAAAAGTGCTAATAAAAAAGTCTACCTATAAAAAACACTAGTAAAAATAATGTCTTACATTCTTGTTTCACCGAGAAGTTTGAAATCAACACTAACACCACCATACCTATCAATGTCAAACCTCAATAAGTAATATGATATGAACCACTGGATAAAACTAGTTCCTTTCTTGTATATATGTGTCACATATATTGCCTTGGTTGTAGATGGATTATAGTCAGTAAAATCACCAATTTTATGTTGATAAAAACAAGTATAAGGATGCTCAGCTACAATATCAGGAAATAACTCTGTCTGATAATAGTTATATATTTCACATCTTGGATGGTGGTACCTGAATCCACTGCTTGAGAAGACATAACTTGCACCAACAGCATCTAAAAACTCATAACGATTAGCTTTGCTATTATAAGCACCATGATGACTCAGCCTGTAGATGTGAGAACGAAGACCATCTTTTACTCCCTTGAGCTTGAGAAACTTTTTCATTTCTTTCTGAGGTAGTTCAAAGTCCCCAGCGATTAGTATAGACCTACCAGCATAAGTTATCTTAGCAATGAGAGAATCAGCATTGTTAGCTCTATGACCAGTACACTTTCCAACAGCAGAAGCAACAAAAAATAGTGTGACACCAAATTTAGGTTTATAACGAGGACAAAGGTCAAGTTTCTTTGAACACTGCTTAATACTCATGCAGCGTGGTATTTCCTTACAGTTGGTATATTTCTTGGATATATGTTTGGTATAATGTTTGTTCCACTCACAGGAATGATAAATAGGAACTTTCTTATTGTTATAAAAGTTCAATATACGATTCATGTACTTGAGGTGGTCAGCATCAGAGTGGGTAAGGACTGCAAGACGAAGTTCAGTCCCTTTAAGAAAGTCCACAATGTCCTTTCCTTTCATACCTAGCTTCTCTGTACTGGATCCAGCATCAATAATACTGACTGTTCCTTTAACAGGATCATCTTGACCTCTAGGACACTGTATCACAGTGCAGTCTCCCTGACCCACTGGCAGGGCGTAGATGTGAAGCTCATCATCAGCATCGGGTATTGGCTCTATTGAAACTGCTACTTTGAGTAACAAAGAAAGAATGATGATGAAATTCTGCATTACCAAAAGGGAAGGAACGAGAGAGAGAGAGAGAGAGAGAGAGAGAGAAGATCACTGCAGTAAAGACTGGTTGATATTCTTTCGTTTATATAAGACAGTGTAGTATCAGGTTCCATACAGTACCTGATTCATGAGGTACCTCCCTTTACCTCCTCACTTCCTACTATCACATTATACTCAGTCCTCATACTCTATTACTAGTTCCTTCTTCATTCCTCATATTCTATTACTAATTCCACCACACACACTCACTATACAAGAGAGGGAACATACAATGAAACATACATTGTTCACTTTATTCAAGTTAAACTGTCAGTATAAGTCCTCATAACATTGCTATACCTGCTTGCTCTGAATAAGGTCATTAGGGACATCAATACAAAGATATGTAACCTGGTATATCAACACTAGCCAATGGATTGTGGGGTAGGAAGGTAGCACAGACTGGAGGGGGAGGTACATGAGCATCAGTTATTGTGCATGAGGTTGAAGGATATAAAGGAGATGATTAGTAACCTATACACTCATGACAATAGAATCTAATGCTAATATATATAAACTATAATAATACTGATACACTATAGAGCTATATCAGCATAATTATTACAAGAATGTACTCTTGATAATAGATACAATGTAGGTCAGCTAATAATAGCAAATTAACACAACATTGGAGTAACCATTAAATAACTGATAACAGGAAATGAACTGATACAGCACTGTGGCAATCCCCTTTATCATTATCTGGTATAATGGCTACCCCTGAGGGCCCTACTAAAGTCAATACTTCTATTCAATCAGATGAACAAGATACTGAACAGGGACCTACTGAAATCAGTGCTTCTATTCAAGATTTCAACGAATCACAAGAGTGGAAAACAGAAGCAGCAAAAAAAAGATTGAGCCAAAGAGAAGAGCCAGTCAATATGTTAGTGATTGGTCCCACTGGAGCTGGTAAATCAACACTCATCAATGCTTTGCTGGGAAACACTGTAGCTAAAGTTGGTCATGGAGCAGCATCAGTTCAGTCTGGAGTTGAAGTGCATGAAGGAAAACATGAAGGAATACAGTTAAGGGTCTATGATACTACTGGGTTCAGTGATACAAGAGGGAAGAGTGGTAATAGCATTGTTAGAGAGATTGCGCAATCCAATAAGTTTGATCTGATACTGATCTGTATCAGAATGGATAGCAGAGCAGATGAAAAAGTTAAAGATATGTTCGCAGTTCTTGCGGCTAACATAAAAAAGGAAATGTGGGATAGATCAGTGATTGTACTGACATTTGCAAATGCATTCCTTCAGCTAAAAAATATTAGGAAAGAGCCCAACCAAGCAGATATAATAAGAAGTGAGATAAAATACTTCAAAGGACACATTCAAGGTTTTTTTAGCAGCACACTGAAAAATGAGGCAATAGATGAGATACCATTCTGTATCGCTGGAGATGATGATGAACTAAAACTACCAACAACTCATGACTGGATAAAAAATTTATGGAATCAATGTGTTAGACGAAGCAGTGAGGACGCCCGTAGTTTCCTTCAATCGTTAGCAAAGTTTCGAATGACACTAATAAGTGCAGGACCTATTTATGGTGGGACTGCAGCTGGAGCAGTGGTGGGTGGAGCAATAGGAGGAGCAGTAGGGACAGTACTACCAGTAACAGGGAATATAGTAGGAGCAGCAGCAGGAGCTGTGATTGGTGCTGGAGTAGGAGCTACCATTTCAGGTGTTGCATTAGCTGTGAAACGTAAGAAGAAGGAACAACCTCCAGACACAAAACAAAAGAAGTGAACTGGTCTACTTGTACATGATACTTAATGCTGTTATTATTATTATTAATACTGATTGTTATTTGTGTTGCTGTTCCCTACTCTTTGATTGTGAGCATTTACTTAGTCAGTTTTGATTTTTGTGATTAATAATTAAAGATCAAATTCAAAATAGTGACAATTCACAACTGCGGAAAAATACGTTACAGTAGTAGACACTAGAATATACCAATTACAATTAGTTTATGTAGTAGGAGTAACATGTACCATGTACTATAGCACAGGGACAATACTATAATTGAAGTGAATCCTACTTAGTAACACTACCACATTACAACCTCACGAGTAACTAAAGTACCTCCCCCTCCAGTCTATGCTACCTTCCTACCCAACAATCCATTGACTAGTGTTGATTCACCAGTCCCAGCAGTTCCTATTACTAATACATAACATGATCCTCCTAGTGCTGAGTGCTCTTAACTCATCACTAGTCTCCATTGATAGTGTAGGATACACACCTTCAGTTCAGTGTATCTATTCACTGACTGTCTTCACAGTTGAACTGTAACTAGTGATACTGGGACTGGCTGACTGATGTTTATTGTATAATACTGGAACTGGTACTAATGAACCTGAATATATTATTAATAATGTGACTGGTTGGATTAAAGGGAATAAAACTAATAAATCTCATAAAACTATAAAATCATTACTAAAAATAAAAATGAAAGACTAGCTACGAACAATAATAACTGAGAGAAAAGCAACAATGCTGGATTGTGGGGTAGGTAGCACAGACTGGGAGGGGAAGGTATAGGTTGAAGGATACCATATAGGGCATAATTTCACTGGATGCAAATTTTGTGGATAAAGTAAATTTGTGAAAATAAAATCCGCAAATTTCAATTTAATACAGTACCTGCATGACACACATGGTAGAATTTGCGAAATTAAAATCCGCAAATTCGAATTTTCGTAGATTTTGTGAAATTTGCGTCCTGCGAACATTATGCCCTATATGGTATAGAGATGATTAGTAACCTATACACTCATGACAATAGAATCTAATACTAATGCACAATAAACTATAATATACAGATACACTATTGTAGCTATATCAGCATAATTATTACAAGAATGGTACTCTTGATAATAGATAGGTCAGTTAATAATAGTAATTAGCAAAACATTAGAGTAACCAATAAGAGGAAATGAACTCATAAGGTATCGTGGTAATTGGTAAAGCCCTTCATCATTATTTGATACAATGGCTAGCTGTCAGGGCCCTACTCCAACTAATAATTATAATTATAATAATTATAATAATAATTATAACTAATTATTATTATAATTATTATTACAACTAATAATTATAAGGCCATGTTTACCCTGTAAACATGGCCTTATAAGGTCAGTTGACATTAAGTGAAAGCATAACACCTACAGTAATCAGTAATAACTGTGGTAATCCCTTTCATCATACCGTAGGTCGGGATATATTCGCGGCTGCTTATTTTCGTGATTTTTTCCCGCACTCAGCAATTACCATGGTTACCAGATGCAATTTTAATTGAAAAGCCGCGATATTAATAGCAAAGGACTCTGTTGCAGTGTTCTTGGGTTGTTGTTCTTCTTGTTGTTACTAATCCTTGGTCTATTAAGAGCTGTTTCAACCAGAGCTACTCTCCTCACTCTACCTTGCGGTATCTTGGCCCATTCTTGGGACTCTCCACCCATTTATTAACTTGGGCGTGGTTAATTATCACCAGCATCAGGCAGCATGTAGACCAGTCAGGATTTACAGCAAAGAGCCCGAAGGTAGTGTGTCCATACAAGAAGATAGCGGATGGAGAGCTGGATGGCTCCCACTAAAGCTGCTAAAGAATAGATAATTACTTAATTAGCTGCTGAACACTGTAATTGTATAAACACGTGGTCTTATTGTCATAGCAACAATCAATTGGTTTTTATTATCACGAAAATAAGCAGCCGCTGTGAGCTGCGAATATATCCTGACCAGCCGACCTACGGACCTACGGTATCTGGTATAATGGCTACCTGTCAGGGCTCTACTGAAGTCATTCAATCAGTTGAACAAGATAATAGTAATTTCAATGAAGAAGAAGAGAAGGAGATACAAGAAGCCATACTAAGATTGAGCCAAAGAAGAGATCCTATCAATATATTAGTGATTGGCCCCACTGGAGCTGGTAAATCAACACTAGTCAATGCTTTACTGGGAGATGCTGTAGCAGAAGAAGGAGCGGGAGCAGGATCAGTAACGTCTGAAGTTAAAGGTTACAAAGGAAAATATGAAGGAATACAGTTAAGGGTTTATGATACTGCTGGGTTCAGTGATACAAGAGGGAAGAGTGGCAATAGCATTGTTGAAGAGATTGCTGAAGCTAATAAGTTTGATCTGATACTGATCTGTATCAGAATGGATAACAGAGCAGGCGAAGGAGTCAGGAAGATGTTCAAAGTTCTTGGAAAAAACTTGAGACAGGAAATGTGGGAGAGATCAATAATTGTACTGACATTTGCCAATATGTACCTTCAACTAGGAAGCATTAGAAAATCACCCAAAAACAAAGCCGAGATAATAAATAGTGAGATAAAAGATTTCCAAGGACATGTTCGCAGATTCCTTAGCCCCACATTGAGAAAGGAGACCATTGATGAGATACCATTCTGTATTGCTGGAGAAGAAGATGATGAGAGAAAACTACCAACAACTGACGACTGGTTGAAAGAACTGTGGGATCAATGCATCAAACGAAGCAGTGAAGATGCTGGCAACTTCCTCAAATTAATAGCAAAATATCGAATAATGTTAATAGAAGCAGGAACTGTAAGTGGTACTACTGTAGTTGGAGCAATGGTGGGTGGAGCAATAGGAGGAGCAGCAGGGACAGTTGTACCAGTAACAGGAAATATAATAGGAGCTACAACAGGAGCAGTTATTGGTGGTGGGATAGCAGCCATTATTACAGGGATTGTAGCGGCTGTTAAAAGAAAGCTTGAGAATAGAAATCAACCACCTCCAAACACAGATCAAGAAGACTGATGAAGTGTTACAATCATTATTAATGTTATTTCCCAATACTCTAGTACTGTGAACATTTAATTACTAATTTGGGTGAATTCTTCATTAATAAGTACTAAGTAGTGATTAATAAAAAATTTAGTGAATGATCAAGTTCAAAATGGGGACAATTCGCGACTGAAAAATACATTACAGTAGACATTAGAATGATGTCAATTATAATTACTGTATACAGTACATGTAATTACTACTAGTTGACTGACCTGTTGCCATGACAGCACAAGTGTCCCTCCTGTCCTTCAGTATAGAGTGTATGATCCTCCACTGCTCACTAATTGGAATAAATATTATGATATGAAAAAATTTAATCAATTTTTGGATCCTAATGTCTCATTAATTAACTTACGGTTTAAAATTCGAGTGACCAAACGATTCCTTCAGTTTATCAACATGATCCTTTGTAGGAGGAGGAATATCTAACAACAAATAAATAAATAAATAAATGAATAAGTGTATTATTTACCAGTATATTGATCATCTCCACCAGTAGACATTGATCCTCCTTCATTGTCTATTATCATACAGTCAGTCTCCTCTCCAATCCACTGACCGTCAGTGTCTGTGCTGCTCCTGTTAGTCTGGTGGGTCTCCTGTTCTAAGCATATGCTGTCAAACAGTTTAGACGCTTCCTCATTTTGAAGCATCTCCTCTAATCCACAGTCGTCCCAATCATCAATATCCTCATCATCATCAATACCCTCGTCCTGTCCCTCTCCTCCTCTGGCTCCTGTGGAGTCCTTCAGGTGTTCTTGAGGTGTGGTTATTGTGGGTATGTGGTGGGAGGGATCTGTTTCTATGGTAACGAGAGGTGACAGGATGATTGATGAATCTGGTACTGATGGGAGAGGCAAATTAGACGAATCCTAATAATAATAATAATAACTAATTAATTAATTAAACAAGCAATTTTAACCCTTTAATAACTAGTTTACTTATTTTTCTTACTTAAATTACACATTCATAATTATTCCTCACCATTTCCCCAGCATCATCTATCTCTCCTTCTCCTCCTCCTTTCCCCAATAATGGTTTCATTGTATCCTTAATATTCTGACGAATAACATCCAACTCTCTAGTAGCAGTCACAATGGCCTCATCAGATATCTCTGGATCCTTCTCCCCCACCAGTATAGAGCGGTAGGACTGTATATCCTCCAGTAAAGAGGAGAGACTAGCCTCTAAACACTTCTTAGGATCACCCATTACTTTACACGTGGACTGGCCGTATACTCTTAGTGTAACGGGAAATGCTTTTTTTCAGTAGGGGAAGGAATCAGAGGAGGTAGGACACGGTTGACCTTTGAGCAATAATTGCAAAGTTCAATTGCATTCCATTGGTATCACGTGATGAAAAATGGCAGCTTTCTGATGATTGTATCACAAAACTAGCTACTACTGCAGAAACTAGAGAGATCTATGACGACCCTTGACAGTTGTTAAAATCACCATTGTATGGAGATATTTCTTATTTGA